AGTCCTGGTGTGACGCTGCTTAATGGACTGCAAGGTCAGTTTGACCCACAAGGTCAGAAGTCCAAGCTCACCAGCCACTTCTTGGAAACCCTATACAGGGTCTCTCTGAGTTGGAACCAACTAGACAGCACTTAACAAGAACAATCTAATTTTATCCCCAAGGCTTGCAGTTGAATGAACTATATCAAGAAAACAGTCTCCTCTCATTTTACAGGTGGGAAAACTTGGTCTAAGGAAAAGTGACCACTTGTCCAAGGCCACGCAAGTCAATGGCGGTGCTAGAGGTAGAGTTCTTTCTACCTCACACTTTCCTGAATAAGTCACATGGAATATTATAAAAATAAACATGGAGAAGTGGAAGGGCAGTCTCGGCCATCTGGGATCTGACCTCATATTATCAGCTACACCTTGATGTTACTACAAGCTACCTGGTCCTCTTCTGGCCCTGGTGTACTACTAGATATGAACAACTTCACAAAACATAAAAATCAGACAAAGTCACTATGTGACCATGATGAATCAAGACAAAAATAAGACCAGTCCATCATCATGTTTGAACACAGACAAAATGTAAACATTGTCCTACCCACAAAAATGACTAGATCTCTTCCTCTCCCAGCTAACGTAAGTGATGTTGTTAAGTGCCATTGAGTCAGTTCTGACCCATAGTGAACCTGTATAGGGTTTACAAGGAGAGGCTGGTGAGCTTGATCCACCGACCTTGCAGTTCAAATGGCTTTGCAGTCTGGCACATTAACCCACAGCGCCACACCAGACTCCAACATAAGTGACAGTTCCTTTATCAATTATGACATTAGGCTGGTTCTAGTCAGCCCTCCTGACAACATCCAATTCACAGAAAGCCCCTACTTCCTTAAATCTCCCCCTAAAAACTCACCTAACATTAATTCTGACTCATAGCAATCCAAGATAGAGTTTCTGAGGCTATGAATCTTAACAGGAGCAGAAAGTCCCATCTTTCTCAAATGTAGTAGCCACTTGTGGCTTTGAATCGCCGACCTGTGGTTAGCAGTCCTGTGCTTATCCTATAGCGCCAGGGATTCTAGAAATCATTTCACACAAGCCCAAATCTAATAATAATTTCTTTCTGACTCCCCCTTACTAATATGCCCCACCATCTTTCCATGGTGCACATTTTCTCTCACTGCAAAGTAACTTGCTCAATTACAAGTGTGTTCTGGAGGTCTTTGGGTGAGGACCACGGACAACCATATAGTAAAAACCAAAGGACCATGGTTCATAAGTAACATTTAAAAACTCCATCATTTTCCTAGATTACAGGAAGTAAGAACCCAACTACCAAAAAAATCCATTTGAAAGTCAAGGGAAGAAGATTCCACATAGGGTGGTACAATGAAATTAAAAATGGTACATCCAATTGATCTACTAAGTCTACATATATTATTAGGAGCGTTTTAGCATAAAGTTTTCATTGGACCAACGGCATAATACTTTAGCTTCATTTCTGTTACAAACCTAATCATTGGTTGGAAGGAGTCAAACATGATTTAATCAGATCCAGAAATTCTGATTAGATTCACCTTCCCCATGTCAATATCCTCATAAAACATAAAGCTGTGTACCAATGCAATAACAATAATCATTTTAATTACACATTCCATCTCTTTCTATCAAGGGGTAGAATTTTTTAGGATGAAGTAATAATGCCTACCAATTCCAAAAGGAATTGCTAAATTCCTAAGAAAATTGAGTTACAGACTCTCTCTGCAATACATCAAAATATCTAGCTAAATTGCTTTAAGAAAACAGAAATGAGGCCATCATTCATAATTTTGTCTGCATCACATCAAAGGCTCTGAATTACTGAGATTTTGCTTAAACAAAGAAGTCATGTTGACATCATGAAGGAATAGTACTAGGGAGTTATCTTATTCACAAATCATGATTAAATCAGACAGGTGAATTATAATCAATATTTTCGTGAAAATTGACTTTAAAATGAGGGTTTTTAAAAAGTTGTTGTTGTTAAGTGCTGCTGAGTCAGTTCCAACTCATAGCAATCCTGTACAGGGTTTCCAAGGAGCAGCTGATGGGTTTGAACTGCTGACCTTGTGGTTCAAACTGACCTTGCAATCCAATGATTACCTTACAGTACCATTCCAGCTCTCCAAAGTAGAACACTTTTAAATAACAGAAAAATCACACACCAAGGTGTTTGATACTTCTATTTCTCTCCATAAATAAAATCCAATTATTTTTAATTCAAATAGCTTTCCTCTTGTTCAATTTCGACATCATGCTATAACTCAATTTCTCCTTCTCAGTTTCCAGACACATCTGGAAACTAAGCTTATACCCATTGTATCTTCCAGATGCTAGCTGCCTTTAGTATTCAATCGTAAGTGGTCTCCAAAGTTCTAGAAATCTCCATAAATACCCAGTTACTGGACATTTTATAATCAGACTCATTTCTTCTTTTAATATGTAACATTGGTCCACAGCCTCTATAAAGATAATTTTCCTCAAGAGTCCCTAGTTTTTAAATTCCCTATTACATTTTCAATTTGTTCTTATAAATATCAAAAATATACTTGAATTTAGTTGGAGAAAAAACAGTTCTACTCACCGCATTTTTCCCCTCATTCTGAGCATCTCGATAATCAGGATTAAGCTAAAAAAAAAAAAAAAAAAACTTGTTTTGAATTGTATTAAAATTACATAAGTAAGACCAATGATCTTTAATCAATTCAGTATGCTACCTTTAAATAAATTTAAGAAAAAAGAAGGTAAGAAAGCATGACAATTTTAAACATTATTTTCTAACCCTACTTGCAGAAGACAAGAGCGGAAATGCCATGTTTAATACCTCTGTTTTGTATCAGAACTGTTGACATTTTTGAACAAACGAGAACTGACAATCTCAACTTCTCTGGAGAAATATTCAAGAGAGTTCACCATTTTCCCTGACACAAAATCAGTCATTTACCAGTAACTCATACACCAATGTTAAAATAGAAATCAAAGGAAAGTTTGAACAATGATTCAAGATCAAGCCCCATATGTTATACACTGAAGGAAAAAAAAATTAAACAAAGGAGCTGGAGATCAGACAGTTGGGCAATAAATGACAACTATAGAAATTTACTATGGAACTCTAGGATAAGCACTGGACTGTTTACCACAGGTCGGTGGTTCAAACCCACCAATCTCTCCTAGGAAACCTTATACAGGTTCACTATGAATTGGAACAGATGCAACACCACTTAACAACAACAATAGAAATTAACAGACAAAAACACATGTTGTTGGACTTAGAACGTAATGTAAAATTTAGGGATTGTTCATGATACAAAGGTCAATTGTATAACAGAACATAAACATAGTAAATATCTCTGCTCCCAATTAAAGAGCCTCAAATACTTAAGTAGACCATTCTACGTGGAGTCCTGGTGTGGCGCTGTGAGATTATGCACCAGACAGCAAGTTCAGTTCGAAACACAAGGTTGGTGGTTCAAATTCACCAACTACTCCTGTGAAACCCTATACAGGGTCACCATGAGTTGGAACTTACTCGACGGCACCTAACAACAACAACAACAACAAACAATAATAGTAGGAGATTTTAATACACCATTTTCAATGAAGGACAGAACTAGGACAAAACTCATCAAGGACACAGAAGAACTAAACAACACAACCAACCAACTTGACTTCATAGATTTATACATAGCACTCAACTCAACAACAGCACAATACACATTCTTTTCCAGTGCACATGGAACATACTCTAGAATAGATCATGGTTTGAAAGAAGGTATTTGCACGTGGGTATTTACTTTTGCAGCAAACAGATCTCTGAGCATGGTAGGATGTACTGCAAAATTATGACAACTTCTTAGATATTATCAAACATCTTAATGCAATAAGTTGCTAGGCCTGGGGACTTAGGACCCTAGTCTAGGAGACACCATGGCATAGCATAGTCCACAAAGACAATGTTTTACATACTACTTTGATGAGTAGCAACTGAGATCTTAAAACTCATGAGCCACCATCTAAGGTGCAACTATTGGTATGTCTCCAGGTGTGGAAAAAAGAAAAGTGATAATAACTGAAGATGCTTGGTATCAATGAGTTCAATGGACTAATGGTAGGTGAACCTCAGTCTCTACAACTCTGAGACCAGACGAAGTAGATGGTGCTAGTTCTTCTACCAACCGCTTTGAAAGGGGTCACATTAGAAGGTCCTGGGAAAAGTAGAAGAAAAATGTGGAACAAAACTTAAAATTATAAACAAAGACCAAACTTACTGGCCAGAAAAAGACTGGAGGATCCCAAGACTATGGTCCTTGACCACACTTCAGGTCTGGAAAGGACTCACCCTCATGGCCCAATTCTCAGCCAAGGAGTAGACAGACAGGTATGTAGGGGGGACAACTAAGGTATGATCACGATGGAATGGTCAATCACTCAAAATCTAAAGGGCAACATTTACCTATGGACAAATTGAGAAAGGATGGGAACAAAGGTGAAATGGAAATACGGACCACAGGGAGGAAGTGGGATAACTTGTTACATGAAAGAATTGCAATTACTGAGATGAAACAAAGTATATTATTTGTTGAATGTAAAGTTGATGATCTGCTCTGTAAACCTTTACTCAATTCACAATTAAAAGGGTTTTTTTTAAATTATCATTTAAAATGTAAGATCAAGAGTCTTTCTCAAAATTATATTTAGCTAAAATCTCAGAGCACTGCTTCTCCCAATTTATTATTAAATATCAATAAAATATTTCATGTTCAAAAAATACCAACAGTAAAACAAAACAAAACAAAAAATTCTCAATGCCACTGAAAGCTAAACCTAAAATAAAACCTAAGCCCTAAATCTCCAATGAATCAAAACAAACTGTAAAACAGAGGAGAATGCAGATATCTGAACGGTTTTCATCTCATAGTATCCTTTGACCTCACTCCAGGCTAGTAGCCACTTGGTATGCCTCCCATTATTTGTCCACTGACTCAGAGACCCAGAGGATACACCAACCCACTTCTATGCCTACAAAGAAGTGTTGCTCCATTTTCAGGAACCGCTGGCAGAATGTGCAGAAAACTGTTTCCTCAGTCCTCCGCATCCACTGACCTACTACCTCACTCTATCATCTCAAAGCCAAAGAAATACTACAAAGCTCAGGAAACAACTGGGCGGGAAAGAGAGGGAGAAAAGTTGGTAAAGGCCTTCTGAGAAGCACTAGGTGGAGCAAGGAAAGAAAAGAGAAAGAACTTTGGGTGCTATCTATGTGTGCTGGGATTACATGACATCATAGTACAGTGGAAACACAATAAAGTATAATAATCAGCTGCAACAGAACCCAGGTACACAGAGTCGACATCTGCTAGTACTGGAAACAGTTCTAGGCATGTGTTCGTCAGTCTGCCCTGCAGCTGAAGATTGAGAAAGAGGATTTAATTGTCATAGTCGGGAACAAAAAAAAAATGGAATGAAAGGACAATCCACTAAACCCATCTGGTTCTGGACAGAGCATATTTGTACGAGGATAATAGAGGAAGAAATAAAATACAATATGGGACTGATGAAAAATATATTAGAACAAGAAAAAATTCTTTCTCGGAATCTTTTTGAATATTTCCTGCAAAATTAATAAAGACTAAATTCCTAGGAAATGCTTTGAGAATAGGAGCACTCTGTAAAGACAACAGACTAAAACGAACAGCTAAAACGATAGTATGGAAATTATAATACTATTAGTAATATAATAAACTAATAATATAAAAACCAATAATATAAAGAGAAGTATACGTTGAGGAACCCTACAGGATCTCAATGAAAATGAAAACAAATTTTAAAACTAAAGATCATTTTGGCAACAAAAAGAAGTATGGTTAATGCTACAGAAAATCAGTGATACAGAGGATACAAAATTTAAGAGCTACAATACAGAGGAAAGGTATAAAGAAATGAAAATTAGGAAAAAGAAAGTAATAATGAATGACAAGAAAAGAAAACATCAAGTAATTGGCTACCAGTACCCAAAGGGAAGAAAGAATAAATAGAATAGAGGCAATCCATGAGATTAGCATCGGGCTTCAAAACACAAGGTGTTGCAGACCATGAAGGCCTGGTCAGAGGTTCGAGGCCCTATAGACCCGAGTGTAACAGAGCTAGCCACCTGGCAGTTAATAACAAATTATTTTTCATCTTAGTGTCCAGTTATGTTTTATTAATTGCAGACATGAAGCCCTTAATATACACAGATAAATGTAATATTT